AAATTTTTTGATATCTATATATTTACAATATAAGTATATGAGTACATCACCATGCAAAAGCAATTTGTTATTTTAAATTCTTGATAATATCCAAATATTCTCTTGAATCTAAGTAAAATAATTCCTTAAAACTAGGCAAATACCTTTATATGAGCTTTAAACAAACTCAATAAATATAATTAAAATGTTTTATTTGGAGAGTAATATAATCATATTAGCAAATTTCCCCGAAATAATTGTAAAGTCTGGTTTTATTGGTGCAAGTTATTCAAGGGGGTATTTAAAACATGAACGCAAAAACAGGGTACACCGATTTTTGTGGGAATTTTTTTTATTTGAAAACAATTAATGAGAAAACGTGTTTTTTGTGATTCAATCGAAAGTGTTAGCAGGAACGGAAGAACTTTTCATATAAGATTTTTAAGTATTTATGAGATCTACAGAATGAGATTACACGTGAGAAGATATGAGTAATGCCAAAAATGTTATGGCCGAAAAACCAAATAAAATGCAGGTAGTTTTTTTGAGAATCTGTAATTGTTTATCCAAAAACACCTGTTTTCCAGCCATCACTACTAGTTTATTGAGCAATATACAAGGTTCGCTCAGAGAACATTCAATAGGAAAATACACGTGTTTACCTTGCCGATATGAATCACAAACCATTCCGAAAGATAAATGTTACTTTTATGCGAGAAACAAAGGTTACGTTTTTTCTTCTAAATAAATTCAAACATTTCGTATTTATGTGTAATTGAACAAGTGCGCTGCGATATTAGAAAAACATACGTTACTATACACATTTTAAAACAAAGCGGATGTGTCTATCATCTTTTGTTGCCAAAGTGTCAAAACCTTCAGTTTGCTTCGGTTTTCGGTCATAACTTTTTTGCTATTGGTCGGATCTTTTTACGTGTGATCTCATTTTGTAGGTCTCATATAAACCAAAAAATCTTATATGAAGAGTTTTTTCGTTCCTGCCAGCACTTAAAATTGAATCCCAAAGAGCGCGTTTCCTCATTCTTTGTTGTCGAATAAAAAGTTTTCCCACAGAAATTGGTGCATTTTATGCGTCCATGTTTTGAATACCCCCGTGAACAACTCGCAGCAATAAAACCAGACTTTACAATTATTCCGTAAACCAGGGGTATTTTCGACTAATATGATGTTCACGTGAACATCACTTAACTACCAGTAGTCGGCTGTTCATAGGCGGGGTATGAATGTTTAACATGGGTGAACTAGATTTGTCACATGCTTAATAAAGAGTGGTTTGAAACATATTGTAACTCAAAAATTTGGGAATTACCTTTATTCATCGTCGCTTCCACTTACATCTGACAGTAATAAACTGTCGCTATCGCTTTCCTCGTTGAAATTGACTATAACTGGCTCTATGATGGTGTCGATGTCGTGGTCAAGCTGCCACATTTTTGTTTCTTCCTTCACAACATGACGGATAGCATTCTGCCAAGCTTCGGGCGTTACTAGCTGTATGGAAGTCTCAAGTAAAACCTTAACGTCTTGTAATTTGAAGGTTGTGTTATGGCGCGCAATATAACCCTTCACTTGAGCCCAGATGAGCTCTATTGGGTTCAGTTCACAGTGGTAGGGCGGTAACCGCAGCACAGTGACACCACATTGATGGGCCATCTCATCAGTCACGTAACTAATGTTCGCAGGTTTGTCCTGTTTAATTTTTTCATACAATTCCGCTTTCACACATGAATCGTCAAACGGGATTCCTTTTTCGCGCAACCATTGCTGCATGTCACTTTTTCGAGATCCCATAGTCGGTAAACGTTCGGCTCGATGACTATGGTAGGAAGCATTATCCATGACGATCAACTCGCTGAATCACCCCTTGAAACCAGCTCTCGAAGCAGCTAGCATTCATTTCGTCATGGTAATCACCTCCTTTCATAGAGACGAAAATCAAGTCACACTCTTCTAAAAAGCCACTATCGCTACCAATATGAGTTACGATCAATCTTTGACCTTTCCCTGACGGTCCACGAAGACCTGTTGACAAACCTTCAATGCTTGCTTGTCGGTTACTCACTACGTTTTTGTCTATCCAGGTTTTTTTAACTGTGTGACCTGCATTTACCCATGTCTCGTCCAAATAATAGATTTTTCTGCTTTGTCGCCTATATTCAATCATTTCGCGTAGGTATTTTCGACGCCAGGCGACTATTTCAGGTCTCTCTATCAATACTGACTCCCGATTACGCGTTTCGTAACGAAAATTAATTTCGTGCAGGGATTTCCTCATTACCTCGACGCTCATCTGGGGTATAATTTCATTTTCCTTGATCGCTGCATGTACAGCCTTGAAGGTTGGTATCTCATTCGTAAAGAAGAATGAATGTACGGTTAGCCTTAACGCCATTTTGCTATCGTCATCCAATTTAACGGCCTTTCGTCCCTTCAAATTAAACTTTGGATCAGTAGTAGCTAAAGTTTTCTTCTTTTCATGCACCACCCTGCGAATGGTCCACTCTGGAACGCCTGTCATACTTTCACAACGCGCGAGTGCATCTCCTTGCGACATAGTTCTGTTCAGATAATTGAACACGTTGAGCACGATTTCTTTCGCGTCCCTCTTCAGTGCTTTACGAAGCCGTTGTTCCCTGGCTTTCAGTACTTCCACTCGTGCCATTTGTACTCTCCATAGTTAAGTATAACCAAAACAGTAACCACAGAAACCACAACAATAACAATCACACAACAATTCTTATAAAAACACACAATATGCGATCGCTCAACGAAACACGTTCCAATGCGTTGCCGACGCCTATGAGTCTGCCGGTCGAGGCGCGTCTTTGATTTCATTGGTTCTACCGGCGGAGAACAATCAGCCATTATTTCCATCTCTGTCTGTGCTGTTGACCACCGCAAAGCCACAGAAACGACATATGTCGTACGCTATACGGCTGTACTGGAAGGAAGCCGGGATCGAGCTCTGATCACGTGTTGATCACGCGTATGAGTCATTACAGCTTTAAATAGTTGTAGTATAGCTGGTAAACTTATGTTAATAGTTAATTTATTTCAAATAAATTGGTGTACTCAATCTAACTAAACGGTTTGATAAATTTAATTGAACGATTGCGTTTTAGTTTAATTAAACTAGTTTTATAGATTCAAGTAAACTGTTTTAGAAATCGTAGCTTAATCACACTAATTAAACTTGCTAGATATCACATAGTTAGTTGAATTTTTTAATTGGTCGAATTGAAAATTTAATTGCTTTGATTAAACGTTTTTCTCAGAGTACTTGACTTGAGGTCAAGCTATTTCAAAATAATTGATACTTGATGGCAAATTATATGTTTGTGTATTTTTGGTGTGTTTTTGTTTTGTTGTGTTGTACTAATGACCTCCAGTGATATTTATTTGAACAACCGATGAGCCGTATCATGCAAATAATCACGTAGAAGATCGAAAATTGTCACAGGACATGTCAAATGATGCATTCAAACAGCGTAGCCAAACCAAAAAACACAAAATCGGTAGATGGTGTCGTTGAAATTTAGAATTCTTATTTTTTAGTTTTATCGTTCTATTATTTGTTATACGATGAACAAATTATTTTGTTCAATAATGTATTGTTTTTTCTGAAACTTGTAACGTATTACAAAAATTATCAAGTAATATCAAGATTAGTTGAATTTTCAAGTACGTGTCAGAGGTAAAAACTACTTGACTTGATATCAGACTGCTAATCACTAAAACTTGTCGAGCTTGACTTGACTTCTTGTCAAGTAGCTTGAAAATCAAGTGAAGTAGTGAGTCCCTATGTTCATCCCTCGAAGCGTTGTCAAAATGGCGATTTAAGATTTAATTTCTTTTTACGTTACGTTGACCGCTTATGATTTAGAAAACATCATAATTATGGTATTATCATATTTTTGATTATTCCCCTGAGACCAACCCGTACTCAAGCTCTAGATACACCACTGAAAGGAATGCAATTTGCTAGTCTTTCCCCAACCTCGTATACCCTATCCATTAACGTCTATTTTTTCAAATATACAAAGAGGTTTGGTCCGAAATACGGCAGTAACAAAGTCGAATTATTTAGTTCATTAGCATGTACCAATTATCAAGGCCAGTCGTACTTCAACATCAACCAGAAGACATCTGACGCCATCGCTGTTTTAGAATAATTTATTTGTAACCAGCAGGAAATAGCAGAATAAGAAGTATGGAATTATCAGACAGATGAATAGTTTTCCTCATTCACTCATAACTCATACCGCTGATACCATGTTTATTTTATACATTATTCATTAATTTAACAGGACCAGAATAGATCGTGGAATAGGCCCAGTAGAAGAAAAAAAAAACGCCTGATACACTACTTCACTGGAGGCGTGGATACATGTGCATATATATATATACAGGGTGACTTTGAAGTTGAGTCATTAATTTTCAGATAATGATTGTAGAAGGAAGATAAACCAAAATATGTGTGTAAAAATAAAAAAAAAAATGTTACCTTGTTTAATAAAGTATCCTCCCGACAAGTATTTCAGTGCGGACCTGTATTTGATCGTGCGGTCTTGGAGCAGCATACCCTCACCTGTGAGGTCTTAAGTCACCTGATTCACGAGCCCTTTGCACTACATTAACAAAGGCACGAGGGGTTGGTTGCACTCGATTGGGAAACCGATTCGCATAAATCCGTGATGCATCCGGGAGCATTTTGTAAAGACTGCCCCCCCGTAAATAAGAATCATGTCCACAAGTTCAGCATTTTCGTAAACATGTGCCATTTTTGATTTTGTTTGAGCCACGCAACACACTACTATTCACTCAGGATTTATCGACTGACGAAAAACATCGTGTTAAACGTTTCAAATTCTTTCGCTTTTTTGTTTCCGATGCGATGAACCGGTCAGGCGGATTATATCCGTTGTCGCCAAACACGAGCATATAATAGGCAGGGCGGTACTCAAACTTCCAAAGGGCTATAACTTTGTTACTTTAATTTTACCAGAAAAATGGTAAAGGAAAAAAACATTTCTTTTGATCAGATCTACTCACTGTTAAAATAAATGACTCAACTTCGAAGTCACCCTGTATATATATATATATATATATATATATAGTACAACTTTTCCTTCTTTTCAAATCACTACATCTCAGAGTGATTCCTAAGCGCAGAAAAGTGTGTTATAATGCATTTTATGTCTGATTCTTTTTTAGGTTCTGGAATTCCCCAAATAAAAACAAGCCTCCGAGGGGTATTCATGAAAGAGGTGTTGACCTTCAAAGTCCTGTTCGTAAAATGGTTTGGACTAGCAGCTACATTAGGCAGTGGTGTCCCTTTGGGTAAAGAAGGCCCGCTCATTCACATGTCTAGTATCATTGTGACCAAGCTCAGCAAAGCAATTTCCAGCTTCAACAAGATCTATGTTAATGAGAGCAAGAAAATTGAAATGTTAGGTGCGGCATGGGCTGTTGGGGTGGCTTGTACTTTCAACGCACCCATAGGAGGTATGTAAGGGAGCATTTGCTTTTATCAGACAAAAACCTATACCTGATGTTTCAAATTCGACCCTCACTGTTCTAGGAAACTGTTAGATATATGGGGTAGATTTGTACCATTTGAAAGAGTTATTGCTGCAAGCTTTTCTTTAAATGAGATCATATATAAGTGCAGATAGTATAGTCCGGTGCCGTCTTACCACCAGTTTTAAAAATTGCACTATACCACTGATACAGGACCTGTGACCCCAATTTCTCATATATGTGGAAATGAAACAAATCCAAACACAACTTTATTTCGGAACCATTAGAAAAAATCAAGCACTTTCATTTGTAGTAAATATGTGAACTTATCTAAAATATACTGCTTATGGCAGAACTGCATTTGCGGTCTTCTAGTGAGTTTTTAGGGCAATTTTTTATAAAATCATCTATTACTATATACAGTACAGATTGCTGCCACATTGAAACTTAGAAAACGCCGTCTACATAATTATTTCTAAAGCTTGCACTGTACTACTTAAGGAGGGGCTTTGATCCCAATTTAGCATTCTATAAAAATTGAAATTATCTCAAACAGAAGTATATCCAATATTTCTTGGATAGGTAGTGGAAAACATCCGTATTTAATACTTGCTTTGGCACATAATATTTTCGAAGCAGAACGGATTGAAGTTTCTTATAATGATTCCATTCGAGATATTTGAACCAATTTCTGCTCCAAAATTTCTTAAAGGTGGTGATTTTTGTTTAAAAAAATCAGTGACGTGACATCTGTAGGGGGTCAAATCTTCTCTATTGCTATGCCACTGGTGTAGGCGGGGGCACAAAAATATTTATACAGTGAAATTCATTTATTTTTCCGGACTTCAGTTTCAATGTGTATGAGAGAGAAGTGCGCAACACCAATGTAACAAAACAGAGTGCGCTCTATAAGCATCGTCACTACGTTGCCTGGCAACGGCAGTGCTGGACGGCGCGAAGCAAGGCTGTAGCTTGCCGTGTTGCCACCATACAGCCGCGCTCCGCGCACACGGCTGTGTCGTTGCTAGGAAACGAGGCGACGACGCTTATATAGCGTACCCTTTCTAACATACTTGTTGCGTTGGTGTTGCACTTTCTTTTCTCTCGTACACACCTAAAGCCAAGACAAAAGAGGCAACTGAATTTCACTGTATGTACTGGTGACATAGTGCTACTACTACTTGTATAAAATGCTAAGTCAGTAGCTCAATGTTCTTTCGAAGATATATATTTTCTTTAAATTTCTGAATTATAACTGTATCTCGATAAAAAAGCCTTTAGTACCATGCTTGTATGAAAGGTACCACTATTTTCAGAATCATCCTATATATGGACTTGAAAAATATTGCACTTGCTGAGAAAATCACTTTATCAACTGTTATTTTTCCAGGTGTCCTGTTCAGCGTAGAAATCACAACAGCTTACTACGCAGTAAGGAACTACTGGAGAGGCTTTTTTGCAGCAGTTTGGGGAGCAACTACCTACAGACTACTTTTAGTATGGATAGATGGGGTGAACACGATATCTGTCATATTCAAAGCAAATTTTTTCATTGACTTTCCATACGACCCCTGGGAGCTAATTTCTTTCGGCATTGTAGGGTACAGCAAATCATTTAGTATTATATAATGTATTTTTTTTCCTGTACTTTATCACAAGTTAATAAATATATGTGAAAACTCCCCATTCGCGACCAGATTTATCTTTTTACTTCAAAATCGTTTATTTTATATTATAGTAGTATCACATAGCAGCCATGACTATGAATGGTAATACTCACTTGATGATTTCCACCTAATGGAGGGATTCGATTTGCTACCTGACTCCCTATTCCCGATTTGTGTAATCACACATGTCAGATAACATTGTTAACATTGAATGAGTAAGTAGCTAAAAAGTCCCGTTATTCGATGGAGTTCATCCAAAAAAACCTTGTTGCGCTTCATACTATGTCGTACTATGTACATTAACGATAAACATTAAAGCCGTATATATTTTGATAATCAATTTCTATTTTCAGGTTGATTTGTGGCTTAGGAGGATCATTCTATATTTGGTGTAAGCAGGTATTTACACACTGGTCTGGCAACAATGAATTAATCAAGAAAATAAAAAAGACTAAGTATGTACCCATTTGCAACTATTATTAACAGATTGGTGTGACTAGTAATGAGTAACAATTGAATCCTAATTCTGCTTGTCTTGGTGACTCTGTTTCGCAGTGAGATATTATATATCTACTATTTTACTCTTAACGACAAACAATCCTTGCACCAGGCATAGTTACAGGAGCACCCTCTAGCTCCCTCGTAATTATCATCCTTCTCCGGAGTCGCCATATTTGAGGTTTCAGTACTTCGATATAGTATTTGTTTTACAACTGACGAATGAGTAGTATACTCGGTCGCATACATGTACAATCTCCGGTATACGACATCATCATTTTTATTGTTGATGTAATGTAGAACCTACCTACCTAATATACTGGGTGAAAAAGTCCTATGAACATGGGTGCGTATCCTTCCTTATCGAGATAATATTTTTTTATTTTTAGGGTGCTAATGGTTGGAAAACCACAATATTGTTGGAAAATTACTTTTATTTAACACAAAATTACTAGGTATAATAAAAATAACTATTCAAAATAGTTGTTCAAAGTGTCCACCTTCACACTGTAAACATAGTCTAGCCCGTTTAATAATGTGACTGGTGGCTTTCCCAATAACAAGACGATTACTTCTTATGTCATCAGCGACATCAGTAATTTTACGGAGCAGGTCAGCTCTGGTATGCGATTTCTCTGTATACACTAAACACTCCATATGTCCCCACAAGCAATATCCAAGGGATATAAATCGAGCGAGCGCGGTGGCCAAGAAACTGCGCCCCCTTGTCCAATCCAATGCCCAGGAAAAGTGTTATTTAAATACTCAGTCACATTTTTACCACTGTGGAGCGGAGCAATGTCATGCTGTAACCACATTGTTGCCTTCTCAGCAGCGGAATATCCTCTAACAACACAGGTAGTTCTTCTCGTAAGAATTGAAGATAAACTTCAGATGTCAACCGACCGTCAAACACAAAAGGGCCAACTAAGTGATCCCCTAACAAACTGCCCCAGACATTAACAGAAAAAAAGGTGTTGGAAATTGCGTTCGATAGTTGCGTGGGGATTTTCAAGCTGCCAAGAATGGGAAATCCTCAAATGATTGACGCCGTCTCGAGTAAAAGTAGATTCGTCGGTGAACAAAATCTTTTTAACAAGGTTACGATTTGCGAGGAGCCAGTTACAAAACTGCATATGAGGGTCCGGATCAGTGAGCAGAAGAGCTTGGACAGGTTGCGACAGGTTGCAGATGAAATGGGTACAACCAAGGTTATGTATTGTTCTCCACACAGTCATTCGGCTAACACCAGTGCGACGTGATATTTTGCGGACGCTGGTTGATGGTGACCGTTCAACACTAACCAGTATTGAGTCATGGGCAGCTTCTGATGGACGTGTTACAGTGGCATTTGGAACCGATCCCGCTGCTTTCACATGTGCCAAAACTCTTCCAAATTCCCTTCTGTCAGGTATTCATCCATTTGGATACCGGCGGCGGTATTCGTTCACTGATGCTCTGCCATTTCCGTTGTAATATCCGTAAACATCATGTCACCATATTCCTCGGTTGTAAAAACAAACATGACAGTAATTTTTGCAAAGTTCAATCAAACCAACACAACTACTCCGTCAACGAACAAACAAACACCAGCGTATTAATCGGGCAGTACAACGTGAATGTGAACTTTAATTATTGTAAACAGTTGTTTTCATACAAACAGTATTAAATCTTTTGGCAAGATGGAATGTCTCACACCGATAGGGAAACGAATAATGTTTTGCAAAAAATGTTTTCAGGGCGATTGATAACCTGATTCAGAGATACCATCCAGCTCCCGAATCATCATATTTAACGACTGCAAAATTCTGTTCATGAAATTTAAAAAAATAGTTTTTGCCAGCAAACCAAGCAATCTAAAGTAGCCAAAGAGCAACATTCGGGAAACTATTCACAATATCCCCTTGGAGCATACCAAACAGTAATGGAAAACGTAGTCAAATATAACTTTCAACTTTCAGTACAAGATTAAAATTAATGAATTTATCTATTTCATAAAAAAAGATATTGGAGAAACGAGTCTATATATTTTCTCTACCCCGTAGCTGTTGTTTGATGCTTAATGTTGATGGAACGTTTTTAATAATGATTATTCTTTCCCATATTATCCTCGTAGTATAGATCACGATCAACTTGACTTCTAAGCCTCCTCAGGAACCGTTTCTATACAGGGTGATTCAGAAAACAATGTCGATATTTCTAGAGCAGAAACTACGTATATATCCAAAAATGGCAATACAGCTTTTATAAACATATATTCCAAAGTATACCCTTACCAAGATATTGTCCAAATAACGTCAAGTTTTCTGAATCTCCCTGTTTAAAGCTCTTTATTTCCGGATCTGATTTGAGTTGAACGCTGAGATTTCGTTCACAATGGAGCTGGCGTTTAAGTCTGGCTTTAGTGTACTGACGAAAACTCGGATGACACTCAGCTTAACATTAGTTTCTTGTCAGGTACAGGGACCATTCAGAAATAATGATTTACAGTTGTTTCACGCCTTGGCGTGGAATAAAACAATTGTTTATTTTCCAGTTACTTCGTTTATCCATTTTGCGTGATAATGATAATCTCGACCACAACATGGCCACCTGGCATTGGCCAATTCTTGGCTTCGGATATATCAGGGGGTGCGCAAGTTATTGGCTTGTTCAGCAACTTTTCCTGGACAGAAAAAAATCACACTGTACAAGAACAAGAAGTGCTGAGACATTGGACGACCAAGTGGACTGGAGTTTATACCAGCCTTGTTGTATATTTCTGGTACCAGGTATTACTTAGAGTGCTTTTAGAATAACACTTGTGTTTCATAATAATTGTCTTATTTTGATATCAGACTTTTTTGCATCGCACATTTTCGTGATATTATTTATATTTTCAGTTTCTCGGTTCGATTTTGGCTTCATCAATGCCCATTCCAAATGGCAGCTTTATACCTAATTTTAGAGCGGGTGCAGCGTTAGGTCGGATTGCTGGAGAACTGGTTCATTCGTGGTTTCCTCTAGGTAATAATTATTAAGCGTTAGTCAAGCCGATATATAAAAAATGACAAATCGTCTATTGCATAACTTTAATTATTCCATGATCGACATCTCAAATTGTCTAAAAAGCTCGTTTTCCTTGCTCCAGGGTACAGGGTAGAGCAAGGAAAAGAAGCCAAGTTTATGCCCCCCCCCCCCCGGAATGCACATCAACATGCTGCCCACCAAAAACGTGTTCGGACTTGAAAATCTAACGACTAAAAGTTAACTGATTTGACCCACACCTTTATCACGTAAAAAGATACAACTCGATTCTACAACTATTGCTGTCATTTTTTTAAAACTTTTTGAAATTTCACTTGTCCTCTTTTTATGCCCCAAATAATTATTGAAATTGGACTAACAAGCGAGGATGTGTGGTTCGGCTTAAATACTCGTATATTCTGAATATATGGATCCAACCCAGTTCATAATAAAATTACCTACCTTTATTTATTTCGCACGCTAAAGTAATGTATTGAACTCGCGAAAATTTTATGTTGAATCATCTATGTCGCTCATTTCCGAGGGCCTGCCTGTATGTCTCTGTCTGCCTATCAACACCTGACCCTCTAGAACTTGGAAAGCACTGCTCGAATTTTGATGAGGTTTTGACTCAAGGTTACCTGTATGCTAAGAACAATAAAAGGGTGTGATTTTTGAAAGCATATCAAGGAGCAGCTGAGCTATGGACAAAAACAAAAAAAATACCCTGAAGTTTCGTTTTTAGACATTACCAAGATACAACGTTTACACCAATCAGTGAAAGATATTAGAGATCAGAAATTTGATAATATCGGTTTATTTTCTACAGTTTGTGGTGTAGAGTTTTAAGATATCTCGTATTTAAGTGAATATTTCTAGTCAAGCCTTGATTCTATTCAAGTCTGTTGATTATATTCGAGTGGATAATTTGTCCAACTTTCATTTTAACAGCTACTACTACAACATACTACTCCACGTTGTACAAGTAAAATCATGGAAATATTCAATCTGTTTAAAAACTGTGTCGAGAAAGTTGAATATACATGTCACGTGCAGTTGATTAATCGAATTTGAATAATAGTTCTTAGGCTTGTGGATTTGGAAACAAAGAGAACATAACCTAATTCATGGCAAAATTGTGCGGAATTAGCCTACTTGAGGCTATTTTTTGTTTTGTTTTCCAGGTATGAGTTCATCTGCCGTCCATCCTATAATCCCAGGAGCTTACGCAACGGTAGGGGCAGCAGCGTTTAGCGGCGCAGTCACTCACACGATGTCAGTTTGCGTGATCCTATTCGAGATGACATCGTCCATTACTTATGTTATTCCAGTACTTATTGCCGTACTAATTGCTAATGGAGTGGCTAGATTTCTGACTCCTAGCATCTACGATTTGGTCATACAATCTAAGAAGTTACCGTACTTACCAGATCTGCTCCCAAATACTAGCGGTGAGTCACAAGAAAAAGAAAAATCATAATTGGAGCTTTCAACATTACAGGCTACATTTGCAAATGTAACATTTAAAATCCAGTTGATAAATATTCAATCTGTCATGATTTTACCTGTTAATGAATCAAAAGATAATCATCCTCCAGATGAATGAATGTCTGTATGGATCTTTGTGCATGGTCAGTTTCGAATCGGAAAAGATTACCATAACCCATCTCACGCTACTGCTAACGTCTGTATGTACCTGTGCGCAAATCTTACCATAGTCAAAGACATATTGAATTAACAGTAATACGAGGGATGTCTTTTTAGTTTTGCATATGGAAATAAAACAACACGGTAGGAAGTTTTAAATGACTTTATTGTTTTTCGAAGTATTCTCCACGAAGATTAATACACATCTGCATGCGCTCGAACCAATTTTCGAAGCACTTATTCCACTCGTCTGCTGGCAGATCCAAAACGGCATTTTTGAATGCGTCAACTGCTTCTTCTGGTGACTGGAACCTTTGACTACGCAGTGTCTTTCATTTTCGGGAAAGTAAAGAAATCGTTAGGACTTAGATCGGGACTATATAGATTATAGAGGATGGTCCAATAATTCCACGTTTTCTTCCGTTAAATACTGCCTTGTTTTTTGGGCTGTGTGCGAGCTTGCATTGTCTTGGTGGACGATGATTCTTCTTTCGCGGTTGATTTTTCGAAGCTCGGTGATGACCTTTGGCAATCAAATGGTGGTATACCAATCCGCAGTAACAGTTGTTTGCTCATGAAGAGGAATTGTTGCAATATGACCCGCTTTTGATACAAATGTCGCGACCATCTTTTTCGAACAACTTCCAGAACGGATGACTTTTGATGGCTTTTCTTTACCTTGGAACACCCAAACAGCCGACTGTCGTTTATTTTCTGGTTCATAACAGTAAATCCCTGATTCATCACCACTAACAATGCTGTACACATTTTTTGAGTTTCCGGAAGTGAAACGGTCAAGCGTTTTTTGACACCAATTAACCCTGGTTGCTTTCTGCTCTTCAGTCAACAGGTGGGATATCCAACGAGAAACTAATTTTCTTACTCCTAATTCTTCATAATTTTTTTTTAATTGAGGTCTTTGAGATATTCAAGGACGCCTCAATCTCGCGATATGTCTCATGTCTGTCTTCAATGATGAGTTTGCGCTAAAACTAAGACTCACCCGTCTGCGTTTGAATTCTCCATACCAACGGGAAATTGTCGACTGATGTGGCGCTTCGTTGCCGAAAACAGACAGTAACTCAGCAAGTCATTCTTGTTGCGATTAGTGTCTTTGAAAGTTGTAATAAATTATGGCGCGAAAATGTTCTCGGTTGAGTTCCATTTTTCTAATGACTTGGTGACACTTAAAAATTTACTGTAGTGAGAACACTGCACGTATTGTTGTGAAATTTTGAATTTAGGTTTGCTAAAGAGTGAGGTTAAGATTCAGTACTGAAGTTCGATCCGTGCGGCCTACCAAGTTTCTAAATGCAAAACTGAAAAGACATCTCTCGTATACGATCCGTTACTGTACTCTTTTTCAGTTTCTTAGTTGACTTATAGTCTATGCAAAACTATAGGCAATATAATAAACTTTGATGTTTCCTTTCAGCTATATATGATGTATACGTGGAGGACTTCATGATAACAGACGTAAAATTCGTCTACTTGGGAATGACATATAGCGAGCTGAAACAATTGTTAATGACGCACAAAAAGTTAAAGGTAAGTAGGGGAGGGTGGGCCACCATGAGACGAAAAAGGTTTTTTAAAATTAAAAAAAATAGTTTTGTGTAAATGTTAGGTTTTAAAGAATGATATTTATATTCATGTTAATCTTAAAACAAAACATAAAAAAAGTTTTAAATTAATAGTTTTGCGAGTGAATTTTACAACATTCTTTTTTTTAATAATGTATCATGGGGGCCCAGAAAAGTGGGCCACCATAAGACATAAGACGTATGGGAAAAAAAACAACATGTTTGTTACAAAACTTTATTAAATGGCGGTTTTGACAACTAAAAATATGTACTTAAACGAAAAAAACACAAAAATATAAGATTTGTCAATGCAAAATATGCCAAACATCAAACAACCATTTATTTTTCTTGGTAAAAAAAGTTTAGCGTAAATTTATATTGCTAAACTGAATTTCGAATTTTAGATATTTCTGTAAACGTTTTGTTTTACCCAAATGAGATGGTGGTGGTAAAATCATTTTAACGTCATTTAAAGGAATCATTCCTACATCAGGTTCCAAAGGATATACAAAGTGTCCGCTGAATTTTACCGACTTCCGCAAAAACTTCACTTCTACTTCATTGCTGGAACTTTCCAGATTTATCACTTTTCCAACATAGAATATATTATCATTTTTGGCACTAAATGACACTAATACAAAGTCGTCAGGTTTGGGATTTCGATCCAGTTCTTCAAATGCTGAAGGATCAGCCTCGGGAATCCAGTCTGTTGAATCCTGGTCAGAGTCGGCAAAAGATAAACTTCCATCTTCCTCAGACGAAGATATATCATTGAAATCAACCTTCTTTTTTTTGCAAATAAATTCCGGGTGGCAGCTTTTTGTTTGTCATCCTTGTGTTTTCTTTTTAATTTGTCTTTTTCAATGTTTTCCTGGTATTTTTTTTCAAACATATCTTTCTCAGGCGTATCAGTGGGAATGCAGCTGGTAATTTTTCTACGCTGACTATTAGAAACCTTTCTCATTCCTGCTTTTGGGTATCCCTTAAATATTTCTGGGCTTATAAACAATTTCAATTTTGGTGACTGATCATTAAGTGTATCATTGGGAACTGTCTGAGCTACTTTAGATGATGTTGATGAGGTATTTTCATCCACGGTGGAAACTTCTGTATTGTTAATATTTACAAATTCTCTATCGGTAACAGAGCTGCACAGGAAATCGTCGTCCGTAAAGACATTTCTGTCGAAAGGGTAAATTCCGGCCTTCTTGAAGCCTGATTTTATATTGGACGGAGTCATAGACCGTTCGAATGCTATTCCAACACAAGCAGCAATTTCGTAAATGGATAACGGATTACCCGGATGATGCAAAAGCCAAGAGTCAACCGCAGTATTATAATTCGCCTTAAATGGCGCAAATACTGATATGTCCAGTGGCTGCAGTCTATGACTACAATGTGGTGGAAGTGTGACTGGAATGACTCCGTTGTCCTTAGCCAAATTCAGAGTCTTAATCCCAAGGTGGCTCTCATGATTGTCCATGATTAAAATAGTGGGATTTTCTTTGGACGACCCACTATATCTAATAAAATGTTCCATAACAGACGGAAATAATTCGGAGTTCATCCAACCTGAAGTAGAAGCCAGTCCTAATGTTCCTGCCGGTGCCCCGTTTAACATATGATT